AGTGTTGCCCAATTGGTTCTGATTCATAACAACCCAGTATAAAGTTTCTGAGGAGCAGCTGATGGTAAAGCAGGAGGGTCAGGAAAAAGGAGGAAGACCTTCAGTAAGATGGACTGACACAATGGCTGCAACAATGGGCTCAAAAATAACAATGACTGTGAGGATGGTGCAGAATTGGGCAGAGTTTCATTCTGCTGTACACAGGTTAGCTGTGAGGTAGAACCGACTCAACGGTACCTAAACAGTAACAACAAGGGATTAGGAGTCAAAGATTATGAGGGGAAAAATAGTTTCTATAAAGGATGATAAAAAATAGTCTGAGAAGTTTCCAGAAAATTTAGAGCACTCAATGACAGCACAGTATTTATTTAGTCAATGCTTAAGGTGGTTATAGGGCATTGGCATTCAACATCCAACCCATTCTCCTAATTTCCTTTCTGATCTTGAAAAGATTAGAAAGCTAAAAATAAAAGTTAAGATTCTGGATACAACTTACAATTTTGTCTGTCAGATGTACACATGAAACATTGAAAAGTGAACTGAGGTGAAGTCTACATGAACATACACTCCTTGGGGTTGTAGGGTGAGTGTATTCATGCACGTACATGTGTATGCACACACATGCATATTCACATGTGCACATTTGTTTCAACCACGGGCAGAGAAGACCTCAGTACTTAGTAGCTTTGTAGGTGCTGACAGGCAAGGTGTTTGGTATTTTTTTCACAGTGCATATTTGGCAGGTGCATTGGAACTCTATAGCTAACAGATGCAGGGGTGGCTTCTTAACTGATGAATTGCATCTAAAGTGATATATTCTTGGAGTTAACAGTTCAGGAAGTAGCTTCTGTATCCTTCAATCACAGTTACTGGAGTAAGTTCCTGGAGCTAATTGTTCTAGTGAGGTCCTCTGAACCCTTCACCTTTCTGACTGTGGTAGTAGTATAGTGCCACCTGTCGTAGTGTTTTTCTGGAAGTCATTCCTGAAGATCTAACTACCCCTTGCTCATTTGAATATCACAATTTTTATAAATATCTATAATTTTTGTAGTTCCTTGTTTTGTAACCCTTTTTGCTTAAATGTTGTTGTTACTTGTGACTGAGTCAATAGTGACTCACAGCGACCTCATGCACAACAGAACAAAATACTGTCCCATCCTTCGTCAACCTCACAAATGATGCTATGCTTGAACCTATTACTGCTGCCACTGTGCAAACCTATCTCGTTGGGGATCTTCCTCTTTTTCAATGCCACACCACTTTACCAAGCTTAATGTCCTTCTCCAGGGACAGATCCCTAATGATAACATGTCCAAAGCATGAGACATATAGTCTGGCCACACTGGTTTATAAGGAGCATCCTGGCTGCACTTCTTCCGACACAAATTGGTTTGTTCTTGGGGCAGTCCACAGTACTTCTAATATTCTCCAGCTCTGTAACTCAACTATATCAATTCCTCTGTGGTCTTCTTTATTCACTGTCCAACTTTCACAATGCATATGAGGCAACTGAAAATATCATGGTTTGGGTAATGTACACCTTAGTCCTCAAACTGACATCTTTCTTCTTGAACACTTTAAAGAGGTCTTGTGCAGCAGATTTGCCTAATGCAATACATCATTTGATTTCTTGACTGCTGCTTCCATGAATGTTGATGGTTAATCTGAGGAAGACAAAGTCTGTAACAACTTCAATCTTTTCTCTATTCATCTTGATGTTATTTGTAGGTACAGTGCTGAGGACTTTTGTTTCTTTTCCATAGAGGTACAACTCATACTGAAAGCTGCGATCTTTGATCTTCATCAGTAATATTTTAAGTCCTCTTTGCTTTCAGCAAGCAAGGCTGTTATCTGCATATTGCAAGTTAACAAAAAAGGCTTCCTCCAATCCTGATGCCACATTCTTCTTAATATAACCCAGCTTCTTGTTGAGAAATATTTGCTCAACACACAGATTGAATAAGTATGGTGTAAAAATACAACCCTGGCTTACACCTTCCCTGATTTTAAATCAGTGTCCCTTTGTTCTGTTTGAACTGCCTCTTGGTCTATATACAGGTTTCTCATGAGAACAATGAACTGTTCTGGAATACTCATTCTCCGCAATGTTACCAATACAATCAAAAGACTTTTCATAGTCAATAAAAGCACAGATAAACATCTTTCTGGTATTCTCTACTTTCAGCAAAGCTCTATCTGATGTCAGCAATGATATCCCTCATTCCATGTCTCCATCTGAATCCAGCTTGAACCTCTGGCAGCTCCCTGTTAATGTACTGCTGCAGCTGTTTTTGAATTATCTTTAGCAAAATTTTACTTGCATATATATTGTCCGATGATTTCTGCATTCTGTTAGGTAACCTCTTTTTGGAATCGATCTCTTCCAGTCATTTGGCCTGGTAACTGTCTTCCAAATTTGTTGAAAGATTTCCATTTGTATTCTGTCAATTTTCAGAGCCTTGTGCTTTGACAATGCCTTCAGTGCACCTTGGACTTCTTCCTTCACTATCATTGGGCTCTTGAACATATGCTTCATCTTGAAACAGTTGAAGATCAACCATATGTGGAAAGAGAGAGCTTTTCCAGTCTATTTTCACATATGTAATCAGTTTGATTTCTGTGCGTTCCATCTGGTAATTTAAAAAAGGTTTGTACAATGAAGAAGTCATTGGTCTTTTAAAATTCTATCATGCGATTTCCAGCAACGTTTCTATCACTAAGGTCATATTTTTCAACTACTGATCCTTCCTATTTGTTTCCTACTTTTGCATTCCAATCATGAGTAATTATCAATACATCTTTGATTGCATGTTTAATCAATTTCAGACTAAAGAAGTTGGGAGAATTCTTCAATTTCATCATCACTGGCTATAGTGATTGGTGGGTAAATTTGAGTAACAGCAGTATTGACTGGTCTTCCCTATAGGCATATAAATATTATCCCATCACATAGCACTGTACTTCAAGAAAGATCCTGAAATGTTCTTTTTGATCATGAATGCAATGCCATTCCCCTTAAGTCTGTCATTCCTGGCACAGTAAAACATGTGATTATCAGATTAAAAATGGCCAATATAAGTCCATTTCAGCTCACAGAGGCCTAGGATATCTATGTTTATGCACTGCATTTCATTTTTGACAACTTTCAATTTTCCTAGATCCATGCTTCGTACATTTTATGTTCCAATTATTAATGGATGTTTACTTATAGCCATGTCTCCTCATTTTGAGTTGTTCCCAATTAGCAAATGAAGATCCCGAAAGCTTTATCGCATTCATGTCATCAGGTCAACTCTACTTTGAGGAGATGGTTCTTCTTTCCCAGTTGTATTCTGAGTGACTTCCAACCTGAGGGGCTCATTTTCTGGCACTATATCTGACAATATTCTGGTGTTCTTCATCATGACTCAATAATTAATATTCTGACACTGACAGTGTTCCACTACTATTCATAAGGTTTTCAGTGACTAAATATTTGGAAGTAGTCCAACTCTCCTTCCTTGTCTGTCTTAGTCTGGAAGCTCAGCTTAGTCTGGAAGTTCACTTGTCCACCATGGGTGACCCTTCTGGTATTTAACACCGATGGCATAGCTTCCAGAATCACAGCAATATACAAGCCACCACAGTACAACAGACAGGCAGACAAGTGGTGGTTTCTGCTAAATAGCTAGTGGGATTTCTGTTATCTGCAACTAAACACTGACTGATGCAGTAGTTTTATTTAATTCTTCCTTAAAATTGAGGCCAGCCCAGGGGCTCCAAAAAAACTTGTTTAAGAAATAGCAAGGGAATCTGATAAACATAAAATTTTCAGAGTCTAACTCTTGGAAATTCAGATTGAGAAACTCTGGTGGTATTTGAGAATCAAAATTTTTAAGAGATTGTCCTGTCTTCAAGGATTTCTCACAGTCCTTCCAATATTTTCAGTTACCTGTTTTTTTTTTGACACTTAAATTAGTATTTTTTTTAACCATCCTCTTTACATTCTCACTTCTAACATGCCTCTGGGTATTCTACCACTTTCCTTGATAACTGCAACTGTTGTCTCACAGGTGCCCATTCCATTCTCCAACGTGCTTTATGAATAAAGTATTCACTATGTAAATGACCCATCAAATTCATTGAACTCAAAGTTTCTTTCCTAAAATTCTAACAACCTTCTTAATGTTACCTCAGCTATCCATATACAGGAAAACAAAGCCTGATTTCACTGTTAAAAATATTCTATATGCCTAGAATTTTTAGTTTCAAATTCTCTCCGTATCTACAATCTATTCTCATACTGCTACTTCTACTATCTAACTAATGGTAGCCATAAAAATGTACACATTAAAAAAAGCCCACACAGAAAAAAAAACAATGTACTAATTAGGGTTAAGGTTAGAAAATATCTCCATGTGCAGATATCACAGGGGTTCTTTTTCTGTGTGAATTTTTTTCATATGTGCATTTTTCCTTGAACCCGAAGACACAGTAGAGCTGATAAAACCTTGAGTAGACAACTCAGCTCTCCTCACAATCTGTCTTCTGATTTCATCTGCCTCTACGCCTAAAGTCATCCTCTAGCACATAACAAGGGCATTCAATAAATATTTGTTGAATTATATATAAATGATGTTCTCATCAGAATAGCTCAATCTCAGTTCAAGCTACAGTTCCCAGCCCAGGGCAGAACACTATAGAAACTCTTCTCATTTGCATTTGCTATTATTTAAAAATTAACAATGAGAAATTTGAAGTATTTGTGACAAAGAACTAATAGAGTGATTTTGTATAACCCAACATATGGTTGGAAAAATGACCTCACATGAAATTACTAGACTCATTTACTTCACTGGTAAAATATGACATTGTAAGTATGAGATATTCCCATTTCTGTGAAAATCAAAGCAGAAAATGTACGTGAAGAAAAGATACCTTATATTAAATAAATTATCTTTTAAAAATAATATATTTTGTTAATCTCAATAATATTCTAAAATAAATCATAAATATTTTACCTAAAACGCCTTCCACGTTGCTGGTTCATTTTTGCTCGAGGTGCCACACCATCAACAGCCATAAAGAACACTTTTCTAGGCTTAATAATGCGAAACAAAACCTCCAAGTAGTGAAAAATATCATTAAAGATTTTATCATCTGAAATTCTGAAGTGAACATCGTCATCATTAGGATGGGAACACTGATGTATTATTCCATTCATATCCAGGTACAAATTGTCAAATTCAGGAATCTAAAAACAAAGAAAAATGCTAAAGACCATTCATTTTAATCTATCAGTGATTATGCAATGAACATTCTGTTAACAAAAATGAGTAAACAATCACAGTTGAATAAAGAAAGTGGTGGGGAAAAAATGGAATAATTGGTAATATGAAGACAGAGTATGTGTTTACCCAATGGTTTGACTGAATTTACTTACTGTCAGGAAATTATCTACCTATTTATTTAAAATAACTCAGGAAAATATAAAATGTTTGACTTATTTGATATTCAAAACAGTTTTCTTCCATACTACTATTTTTAGCAGCCTCAATTTCATTTACAAATGGATAACAGAATTTATCACAAGGTTGTTACTGAAAGGTTTCATAAATGATTTAAAGTTTTACTTTATCTTCATTTCACGGAAATAGATTTAATGATCTGGTTATATTAATTTTAAAACCTTAGAGGTATGACAAGTAATTTATAAAACACTGGAAACTGATTTCTCATTTTTGAAATCTGGACTAAATAAGTTATAAACCTTTACTGAAAAGTGATTTTTGTTGTTGTTAGGTGCCACCAAGTCTATTTCAAATCAGTGACTCGACATGACAAAGTAGAACTCCCAGATAAGGCTTTCTTGGGTATAATCTTGAAGGGAGCAGATCACGAGGTCTATTGTCTGTCAGTTTGTTGTAGCTTGTGAGTTGCTGTGATTCTGGAAGCTATGCCACTGGTATTTTAAATACCCATGGTGGACAGGTTTCAGATGAGCTTCTAGACGAAGATAGACTAGGAAGAAGGAGTGACGAACTACTTCCGAATACTTACACTGAAAATTTTATGAATAGCAGAGAAACACTTTTTAGATAATAGTGCTGGAAAATGAGCCCCTCAGGTTGGAAGGCACTCTAAATGCAACAGGGGAAGAGCTGCCTCCTCAAAGTAGAGCTGACCGTAATGAATTGAATGGAGAAAAACTTGTGGGAGAAAAGCCCGTGGGACCTTCATTTATTGGTGGGGCACAATTCAAAATGAAGAAAAACAGCAGTAAACATCCACTGAAAATTGGAACATGGAATGTATGAAGTATGAATCTGGGAAAACTGGAAGTTGTGAAAATGGAAATGGAATGCATAACATCGATATCTTAGGCATTATGAGCAGAAATGAACTGGCATTGGTAATTTTGAATCTGACAACCACATGGTTTACTATGCCGGGAATGACAAATTGAAGAGGAATGGTGTTGCATTAATTAACAAAAAGAACATATCCAGATCAATCATGAGGTACAATGCTGTCTGTGATACCATAATATCCTACAGGGACGACCAGTTAATATCAGTATTATTCAAATTTACGCATCAACCACTAAAGCCAGTGAGGATGAAACAGAAGAATTCTATCAACTTCTTCAATCTGAAATTGATCAAACATGCAATCAAGATGTATTGATCATTACTGGTGACTGAAATATAAAATTTGGGAGCAAAGAGGAAGGATCAGTAGTTGGAAAATAAGGCCTAGTGATAGAAATGATGCTGGAGATCACATGATATAATTCTGCAAAATCAATGATCTGTTCATTCCACATATTGTCTTTAGACAGCATAAGAGACGACAATATACGTGGACCTTGCCAGATGGAATACAAAGAAATCAAATTGACTACATCTGCGGGAAGAAACGATGGAAAAGCTCCATATCATCAGTCAAAACAAGGCCAGGGGCAGATTGTGGAACAGACCATTAATTACTCATATGCAAATACAAACTGAAGCTGTATAAAATGAAAACAAGTCCACGAGAGCCAACATATGACCTTGAATATATCCCACCTAAATTTAGAGATCATCTGAAAAACAGATTTGATACATTAAACACTAAAGATTGAAGACCAAGAGAGTTATGGGATGACATCAAGAACATCATACAGGTAGAAAGCAAAAAGTCATTAAGAAGACAAGAAGGAAAAGGTCAAAGTGGATGTCAGAAGAGACACTGAAACTTGCTCTCCAGCGTAGAGATGCTAAAGCAAATGGAAGAAATGAGGTTCAAGAGCTGAACAGAAAATTTCAAAGATCAGCTCGAGAAGATAAGGCAAACTATTACAACAAAATGTGCAAAGATCTGGAGTCAGATAACCAAAAGGGAAGAACACACTCAGCATTTCTCGAGCTAGGGCAACCGAAGACAAAATTCAAGATTCGACTTTTGTTATTGAAGGATCCTTTGGGCAAATTATTGAATGATACAGAAAGCATCAAAAGAAGATGGAAGGAATATACAAGGGTCACTGTACCAAAAGGAAATGGTTGATGTTCAACCATTTGAAGAGGTACCATATGAACAAGAGCCAATGATACTCAGGGAGGAAGTCCAATGTGCATTGAAGGAACTGGCAGAGAACAAGGCACCAGGAACTGATGGAATAAAAATTGAAATCTTTCAAGAAAGTGAGGCAGCACAGGAGGCACTCACTAATCTCTGCCAAGAAATTTGGAAGACCACTATCTGGCTGACTGATTGAAAGAGACCCATTCCAAAGAGAGGGGACCCAACAGAAAGCAGAAATCATGGAACAGTATCTTTGATAGCCCATGTGAGTTAAATTTTGCTAAAGGTAATACAGAAACCACTGCAAGCACACACTGACAAGAGAACTTCCAGAGGTTCAAACTGGATTCAGAAGAGGCTGTGAAAAGAGGGATATCATTGATGATGTCAGATGGATCTTGGCTGAAAGCAGAGAACATCAGAAAGATGTTTACCTGTGCTTTATTGACTATACAAAGGCTTTCGATTGTGTGGATCATGATAAGCTATGGACAACATTGCAAAGTATGAGTATTCTGGAACACTTAATTGGGCTCATGAGGAATCAGTAC